ACTTTCATTTGTATCCATTAAAATACACCCTCAGAAAAAAAAAAAAAAAAAAAGGTACAAAAGCTGTCACCGGGGCAGTATCCTTTCAAAAGCTACACCTTTGTGCCTTATTTATCCCTAAAGGGTGCATGTAAAAACTTTAAAAGTATATATTAGTACATAAAGTGTATATTAGTACCTTTACAAAGGTACTGCCCCAGTGGCAGAGTGCACATCATATTATTTCCATCAGCAGTTCTGCATTCACTAGCAGGAGGTTACGTTTCTCGAGAGAGCATAAAAGTTTTGCGAGGGAATGCAAAGTTTCTCGGGGAAGCAGTAAAATATAATAATACATTTAATGTTTTCCCATCACCATGTCCTTTTAGGGTCTTTGTAATAATAATAAAAAAGCTTCCTACTAAAATAATCAGAAATTTATTGTTATATATTAATTCTGTCCAAATCCAAAATAAGTACTTTTTTTTTAGGGATGCACCGAAATGAAAATTCTTGGCCGAAGCCGAAACCGAACAAAATGAAACACTGGGCCAAAGGCCGAATACCAAACACGGCTTTTCAAGTTTTTCCCTATGTATTTTGACAATTTTTTGGCAACCAAAATGATTCGGCCGAAATTAGCAAAAAAAACTCTTTCGGTGTTCGGCCAAATAATTTTGGTTGCCGAACATTCGTGCATCCCTACTTTTTTTAAACTGTCAATCTTTGGTTTTCCAAAAATAAATAAATAAATAAATATTATTAATTAATTTAAATAATAATAATAATAATTTTATTTTATAAGTTTCATATGCTAAAAGTGAATTAGTAGCATTTTTTTTATTATTATTGGACTTATTTTACAGTCCTGTTCCACCTGAACACTGGGTATGTACTCTGTGAGTTTAGTGTAAGTGCACATACAGTAAAATAGTGCAGCCAACGAGTTTGGTATGCTATAAGTGAATTCAGGCATTATAAAGGTGGATAATTTTTGGCTAAAGATGGAAAATTGGAAAAAATAAATCCTCATTATTACAGCAGTGGGACCTCTGGGATGCTAGTTAGAAACTCTTTAAAAAACTGGCCTAAGAAAGGCAACTAATGGATCTTAATGATAAGTTAAACTCACACAGCAATGCACTGTGAAACTGACAGCACTGCAATAGATTACAACAAACACTGAACACATACAGTGCAGAATAGGAAGTTATGAAAGTGATATATTCTGTTCTGAATACAGATGTGTGCCGATACATGCACTGTTAAATATCCAATATTCTTGATTATTACTGTTATTAACAAAATGATTATTACTGGGGGATGTGGTTACCAATATGTATTGATGCCGATACATTTTACATCCCAATGCATCCTAGTTCATTTTTCATTCCATGTGTGACATATTCAGTCAAACAATGCCACAGTCAAAGACTAACCAAAAATTATGTCAGCAACAAGGTTGATTCAAAGAGCGACCGGGCTCACCTGTGCAGACTCATATGTGATGGTCTTGGTCTCTGTATGCACAATCGGGATGTCCTTGCTGGCGATTTCGCTGCGAAGGGAGTTGGTGACATCAGAAATGGTGATCGTTTTCGTCTTCACCACAGGAGACTGTGAGAGGGGTCAAGACACAGTGGAAAGTGAGATTTCGAACTACATTAACTTCACCTCACACACATCAACAGTTACTAAACACCATCTGGAACCTTTGGCCAAGCCTTTGTACTGTAAGATTGATATTCTGTGCTGACTATCTCAGAAAAAAGCTGCTAGACAAGAAAAAATGCTTAGCCTGGTGAGACTTTGAATGGTTGGCAAAAAAACAGGTACAAAATACAGCCACTTCAATGATTTCATATGTACTTTATCACCCTTTCCAATAAAAATTATTTTGTTTTATGGTGCGTAAAAGAGTAAATCTATCTAAAAATGCTTATAATGGCACACTGCCTGGATTTCTTAAACATAAATGGTATAAAATTGCCACCCAGCTGAGTTAATAATAAAGGCAGAGAAAAGTGAGCTGAAATTAGTGCTATCCAATTAATCAAACATATCGCAATCACGATATCGACTACAATAAATCTACAATATCGCAATTATGGTATTGAGTAATGCAGGAACACAGTTCTGGATTTGTAGTATAAGAAATAATTGCATGCTTTTGCTCCACATAAAGCAAGTACATTAACATAAATTACAAGGAAAATAATTGAAAATTATGATTTCTGTCATAATCAGTCTCAGTTGGAATTAAATTATGCTTCACAGAAGTGCGTACCAGTGGAGAAAAATATCAGGAAGCTCCACAAACACTGGAGAGTGAAGAGTGTTAATTCTAAAACTACATACACCCTCTTGACTGAGAGGACCTGAATGAAGCCTTCATCACGCCTAGAAGCCCACCGCTCCTATTACCCACAATGCTTGGCTCAGATATGCAGATTATGCATTTCAAAACCATCACAAATTAGTATGGTTTTGCTTTTTAATCTTTTATCTATAGGCACTCGGCCAAAAAAGCTTTTGATTTAGGAATGTTTGGCACATTGTAAGTCAAATATTATTTTCATCCAATAATGGCGACGTCAGGTTGACAGATGATGATGAGAATGAACGCTCTGGCAAATTCAAGCCAAATCGTGGGCTCACCATGTGGCGCTTTCAAAAGAATAGATCGGAGTGGACCTCGCATCAGTCTGCAAGTCTCCTTTTACATAGTTATTAGTGCATTTAAAGGGGTCATCGGATGCCCATTTTCCACAAGTTGATATGATTCTTTAGGGTCTTAATGAAAAGTCATACTTTGGTTAAAATTTCTCAATGGTAGTGTAAAACAACACCATTTTACCGTGTCAAAATCAGCTCTGTTTTCAGCAACCCGTTTTAGTGCATGTTCCTTTAAATGCTAATGAGCTCTGCTCACCCCGCCCCTCTCTTCTGTGGGGTAATGCGCAGTTCTCATGAAAAGCCGCGGAACTTGCTAATTACAACATTATTAGGAAAGGCGATTTGCAAAGATTCATAAAAGAACCTTATACTCACTTCTTCTGTAGGTGAGGCTGGATCAGGAACGATTCACGCGAACATAGACGCATTTAGGCAGATTGGGGATCGGCGCATTCCTTTCAAAAACAAAGCTAATCCTCTGCGTCTTCAGTGGCTCAGATGTCGGGAGTAAATGACGACTGCTATGTTCATTATCACATCCAACAACAGAACACCTCAATCGCTTAGGAGCCTTTTTTACATTTACATTTAGTCATTTTGCAGATGCTTTTGTCCAAAGCGACTTACAATTGGAGAGTACATAAAGTG